CTAGATATTTCACATGGTCCACATAACCCACTGGAGTGCATTTACACGAGGGACAAATTGATGAATGTAAAAATAGTGGCGTATCTGGGATAACAACTTTTAACGGATTCCGGAAACACACCAGACGTGTCTTTGTGTTGTTAATTTTTAAGTCATTTTGCTGAAACCATTCAATCAAATGTGCGGTTTCACGTTGGAGAATAAAAATTGATTTTTCGTATTCTATATGGCGTGACAAGAGTACAGTATCGTCAGCATACTGATATAGTTTGCAGCTAACTATTGAATTTGACATTTCATTGACAAAGACATTAAAAAGTAACGGAGACAAGATAGATCCTTGTGGGACTCCGGATTTCAAGGCGAGCTTTGAACTTCTTTTGGGACCTATGTGAACTTGTTGACAGGGGGTAGAAGCTGAGCTAGTTGGTGGTACATATTACAACGGTTAAACCAGCTGAACTACGAAATTAGAGAGAAAGGAGTAAAGCGATCACCTGTCTTTACTCCTTTCTCCTTTCTCCCTAATTTCGTAATTCAGCTGGTTTAACCGTTGGAACTTGTTGAGATCGTCCAGTTAAATAATCTTTTAGTAGCTCCAGAAATGGACCTCGGAAGCCAATATGATAAAGCTTTTGGAATAGAATGCTGTGGTTAACACTGTCGAATGCCTTTGAAACATCCACAAAAAGGGCACATACGACCTCATTTTTTTCGAACGCGTAATGTAATTCATCTGCAAAATCTTCAAGTAATGGCTGTGTACCCCGTCCGTTGACAAAACCATATTGATTATTGGATATAATTTCGAACTTTTCAAGAAACTGACTCATTACTTGGAATAAATGCTTCTCTAAAATTTGACTTATACAAGACAAAATCGAGATGGGACGATAATTTTCCACCTTACGACGATCTCCTCCTTTATGAAGAGGCTTAACTTTTGCATTTTTCAGGTTATTAGGGATTTTTCTTTGTGCAATGAAACCATTTAACATATGCAGAAGGACATGTTTAATTGCATCAAAATTGCGGATGAGGTCATTTGCTCTGATATTATCAACTCCAGGAGATTTTCTAGGTTTAAAACTAAGCAGCAGACTTTTCAGATCATATTCTGATAACTCAGGAAGGAAAGCTGACACCATGTTCGAATCCCTCGAGGGAATTGAATAGGCAACATCATTCTGCGGAACGCCGGAAAACTGTGCAAAAGTTGCGTTAAATTTGTCAACAACTGAGCATGTAATTGGGCCAAATGCTTTTTCAAGCTCCTCATCTACTGAATTTGAAGGCTTCTTTCCACGGAGTTGGTTGAGTAGAGACCAAGTTTTTGCTGCATTTGATCTTGCACGATAAAATTCATTTTGAAAGTGTCTCCTTTTGGTGGCCCGGAGGAGCGCATTTGCACGATTACGTGCGCAACGATATTCTGTTTTCAGTTGGGCATTTTGGGGAGAACGCCTGCATTTTCTCCACAAAGTATCCTTATCCTGAATGGCTCGTAGAATATCTGCATTAAACCAAACATACTCCTCACGGCGTTGTCGAATTGTAAGAACTTTTTTGGAATCTTCAATAAAAGAATTCCAACTTAAATGAAAATTAGAGTAGACTTCGTCGTAGTTTACGTTCCCTAACAAATCTTGCCACTGGTAAGCCGAAACCAGTTTGTCAAATTTTTTTTTATCTACGTAATAATAAATCAATATAATACTAAGAATAAATCAATCAATATTTTTATTGAAGTGCCCAGGAAAACCTTGCGGTCTTTGTACGGGTGCACTCAGGAAACACGAAAAACATAACACTACACGCAAAAAACAACCAGTAAACAATAAAAACGCTTAAAACAGATGACATATGTCACATAAAATCTCTACGGTATAACGCCATGATAGCGAAAAAAAAAAGGACAGCAAGAGTATAAAATTTGGCTCTGAGCAACTCAATCAAGTGCAAGAAATGGTATGCAAAATGTAGGTGAGGACCTTTAGCGCTCTGATAAACTCCGGTGTGTTATCGTTAAATATATCAATAGTGTCTGTAAAAGAGGAATTGTAGGTGCGCCCAATTCTTGACACGGGGTCGTGAAGATTAGTTATGCGAGCATTGTAGAAGGATGCATTTTGCCATGCAGTTTTTACGGGAATTTTCAAACGTACATTTGAGATCAATGAGGTGCAGTCAGTGATGCCATGAATAAGTTTGTGCAGAAATAGGACATTGGTATGTTTTCTCCTACGCCTCAGGGTGGGCAATGCCAAGCTATGTCGGACTGGGACTGCTGGGTCATCGTTTGAAGTAGACGCATTGCACGACGAGAAACGCTGTCTGTAGATACATAAAAGCTTATTCTGAACACGTTCGATCCTAGCCGAGTTTGTCGCGCAGATTCCATCCCATACATCAAAGGCATACTCGACGTGTGGTCGACATAAACCATGTGACAAAAGTACTAGGGTTATTAAACTCTTTAGTAATGTGGCACGCAATACTAAGCGTGCATATTATTATTAATTCACCACATTAAATAATAATAATAATTATTATTATTGTTATTAATAAACGAACATCGTTTCGACTTGAACACGGAGTCTGCAATGGGTCACTGTTCGTGTTTTAGGCATGGAAATTATCGTGCAAACTGTAACAACGAGTTGTAGTTTTTGCACTGGTTCTCGAATTCAGTGGTGTGTCGTTCCTTGCTAACACAAGGCGAAGAGCACAGCTGGCGATGTTCGCCCTTTCAGCACAGAGACGACGAGTGACGAAGCACTATTCTACTTGATATCTCTTCGCATCTTTGTTAAAAGGAAAACAACAACAACAACATTGAAGTCTTTGGTTTGGGGTTTGCTGACATTTGTGCTAATAGGTTTCTCTTCAAAAAAGTGCGTTGCAAACCCCGCGAACGGCATTGTTTTGGATTCAAAATTAAGTGAGCTACCTAACGAAAATTTGGATTTGAAAGTAATACAAAATAAAATTGCACGAATTAATTTATCTCACTACTACTTGTTTTTTTGTATAAAACTATCTAATACAGCTCTAATACACGGGGGTGGTGCACGAAAGCATCCGATGTCCAAAGCCCCGTGCCCAATGCGCGGCGGCAAACCGCCCTGCCTTTTTGCCCCGCTTTCTAAGACCCCCAGTTTCAGAAGCCCCTGACGCGAATCTCCCGTGTCAAGTGGCCGGGTCTTCAGCGTCATGGCGGAGCCTTCTACTTTTAACCAAGAGAGTAGCGGTGTACTCCAGCTGGCCTAACATAATCATGCTGTACCCGGGACTTAAGTAAAAAATAACTGGATAACGCTTCCCCGCCTTCAGGCGTGCGCTATACATATTCATGTCTTGTGACATTGGAAGTTAGAGCAAACAGCAAATATCAGTCAATGTCAAAATATTTATTTAAAGTCACAGATTTTGTGAATAAGCATTGGACTAAAGCTTTTGTCGATTCTGAAGCACGCGCGGACTCGCAGCTCCGACGAAGTGGGTTCTGTCAAAACTCTAAACCCGCAGCTCATGGTGCCATGCTTATTATGTATACATAATCAAACTCCAGTTATATTCTTACATCGTTCTAAAATATATTTGTTTTCATCTAGGTAGATAAAGTCTATATTTCTGCATCTTAGGTAGGCCTCTAGGACCGCAGAGTTTATCGCTGGTTATGCAGGTTTATGCAATTGGCCACAGTACGTCATTATAAGTATCCAGCGGTTCAAGTTAACATAATTTTACTGTTTATTTAACTTAAAATAGCCTCTGTAGACCCTCGACAGTTTAGGTTAAGACATGGGAAAATGGTGGTTGAAGCGCAAAGAGGGTGGAACGGGGGCAGTGAGGACGAGGCTTACGGCACGGCGGCAATACGGGACGGGGTAATTAAACTTGGGGTTTTGTCACAGGTAGAGTCAACACCTCCGCCCATTTGGGAAAATATGTATTAATGACTGCTAGTCTTGGAGCATTTGCTTTCGAATTCCAGCGCTTCTTTTAAAATTCAATCAAGCAAAAATCATTTGTTTATGCACCAGACGCACCAAAACAGCACCACAAGGCTGTCGTCCTTCTCTTCCTCAGGCGCCCATCATAATACTCGTGACCCACACTGTCAAAAGACGTAAACAGCCTTGTTGACCTCAAACCAAGCTAAGGCGATTGAATGCGGAGCTTTCGAAAGGGGGACAAGGTATGACGTCGGCTCATAAAGATGAAAGTTTACCCTTTCCCTTGTCAACATCTAACAGACAAAGTTGTTATCACCCGCTGCCGGATTTAATAGCTTCAGAGATTAGTTAAGCTATGCATATATATCTCGGAGTAAGGATTCTGTACAGCATTTGGTGGTTGCCTCTTCTATCCACGCTACTATCTACTGCTTACGGTAACTCGACGAGTGAAAACCTAAGGTACGTTGCTAAATTATTTTTATTTATGCGAATACCACGGCTTCTTTAAACTTGCGGCTCTCGTTCTGTAGTTTAAGAACTGAGCCAACACACAAATAGGCGCTCGTTGTTTTCGGTGCTGTCAAGGTGTCTGCTTAACTCAAGCCATGTCCTCTACAGCACAATCCTGTGGAGAAAATTCAATTAGAAAACGACGCGTACACCAGTTCAATTTGGGTAGAAATTGACGGATAGGAGGAGATGGGAGCAGAAGGGGACGTCGAAGCGCAGTCTCTGGTTGGAATGGCTAGGGAATAGACGAAAAGCTAGCTGCCTTTATCTCTACTCAGTCTTGGAACGCTTTCGAACGCCGGACGCCCGCGTTCGGTGTGTGAACAGATCACGAAGCAAGAATCTTGAAGATATTAAGAAACGCCCTAAGTTCCTTCAGCTATCCGTGACTGCAGTATGCATTACCTCTTCCCCTCGCCCCTTTTGTGTTGCTTATTGGATGAGGTTAAGTACTCGACTAACATGTATAAAAATTTCGGAATGTACTGACCGAATAAGTTCTTGGAAGCTCTTCTTACCCTTTCAGGCATGTCCTTGAGGTGTTTCCCCATATACCAGGACATCGGCGGAGTCAAGTACTCGATGGGCTACAAGGCTCATCATGTCCGTGAAGCACTGAATTACATGCCCCACGATGGTGACATTGTCATGGTCTCGCACCTGAAATGCGGCAACAACTTGCTGGAACAGATCATCCAACTGATTCTTTACAGGTAATGAAATATGGGAGAAACCAATGCTTTAGTGACAAATATGTGTTTCTTAGAAACCACTTTCTCATTTAATCGTCGTAGGTAAGGTGGCAGTTAAATGAAAGCTTTTACTGGGTAATCTGGAGTTTGTTTTTGCCCGCATATTTACATCTCCTGTAAAGACTCTTGGACCGTAAGAAAGGGCGCACAACTTTCTTTCCTACACGAACCATTATCAAGCTCTCAGAACCAAAACTCGTTGTAAGTGGAGAGTTTGACAAGCTTTGCCCCCGTCTTCGCATGTCCCGGGTTAACCAGTTAAATAATACCCGATCTAAGGTGATACTGTATTCCTTATCTGTTAACCGTGTTTCATCTTTCCCAGCGGCCAGTCTGCCGGTGACCTAAGTGAATACCACAGGCGAACGCCGTACATCGAGATGGTCGGGACCGGACCGGTGCAAAACATGCAGCCCCCTCGCTTTTTTAAGACGCACTTCACTTACGAGCGACAGCCCATGAACCCCAAGGCCAAGTACGTGTACTTGGCGAGGAACCCTCTAGACGTCTGCGTGTCCTTCTACCACTTCACTCGCTCGCTGCCGGTGTACAGATTCGGGGATGGAACGTTCGACGATTTCTTCGAGCTCTTCGTGAAGGGGAAGAACGATCGTGGTGACTTCTTTGACCACTTGATGTCCTGGTACTCTCATAAAGATGATGCCAACGTCTTCTTTGTCACCTATGAGGAACTCAAGAGGAACTTCAAGGACGCTGTCTCGATACTTGCTCGTTTTCTCGGAGAAGAATACGCTAGACCGCTGGAGACCGACGAAGAACTCTTCCAGAAGGTTGTCGATCATAGCAGCATTAAGTTTCTGTCTCAGCTTCTGACGATTACGGAAGGCAAGATGAAGACCATGGAGGAGAAAGGAGACAACGATGTACTAGATGCTGCGAAAAGGTTTGTCTGCAACAAATCTGGAAAACCGTCGCCACAGAAAATTTTCGTCCGTAAAGGAATTGTCGGCGATTGGAAAACACATTTTGGGGAAAAATATCTGGATCGTTTGCGTAGTAGGATTCAAGAGAAGAAAGCAGTTGCCGTTGTCAAAGCTCTCTGGGGTTCTGAAGACCTGGGTGGCGTCGTTTAGTTTTGAGCACATTTGAAGAAGTTCACTTTGGCGGGGACATTTCAGCTGAGTGTGCACTTTTTAAGCAAGGCAGACGAAGGAGCGAGAAGATTCCTCCATTAAAAAAGCAAAACGTACTTTGAACGTTTTTATTGAAATACGTCACAAGCTTTGGCGTTTTTTGATGAATTGATTATAATAAGTGTAGTCGTTCTTGATGTGTTTTTTATGTTATTACCACGGTTTACTCAATAAACAAGTGCTTGGGGATTGGGGCTCCAATGGTCAAATAGACATCTCAGCCTTTTTTCCGTAGATGATTTTACGGAATTCTGCTTTACTTACCTTATTGTGAGAGCTGGTATTACTTTACTTAAAAAAATATAAACTGTTATTTACATATAGGTCGTTGATTAGTAGGTAGTTGGGCATGATGTCAGAAAAATATTTGTTTTAAACAGCTCAGTAGCCCTTTACGTTTGTTTAATCATAGTTTTATAACGAATAAAACAACCGGCCATGACTTTTGATTAATTTTCTAATAAATATATATTTTATATATTACGAATAGAAAGAATAAGTTTTCTTCGCTTGAGCAGATGCCGCAACACAGTGTAACAAGATAAATGTTCTACTGTTCGTACAGATAACGTATACAGTCAATTTGAGTTGGTAAACTAGGCCTATTCATTTTTCTGAAATATTTCCACTTTAAGTGAGACGCGTTGAAGTACCCGTGTTTCAGGAAGTAGTTACATCGAATATAATCAACTTCGCGAGGGCCAATGACATGATCCAGAACTGTCATGAACACAACTCGCACACTCCAGGAACAATGACGCCGCAGAAAACATCCGTTAAGTTCCCTTTCCTGGAGGAAGCAGACGCAGCCAACAACGGCGAACGACGAAGTAACGATAACGATTGAATCTGAAGAATGCTATGTGTGCAGAGCCAATGAACATGTACAATGTCATGCTGATTAATCTGCGTACATCGCATTTTGTTTTGTCCAATTGTATTCCGAGTTTTATCATTCCTTGCAGTCATTCTATTGGTCGCCGTGATTTCCTCCTCCCAAGTTCTGCAGGAAAGCGAGCTCAGGGAGGCTTTGAGAGTGAAATCCACAAATAAACTTTAACCCCATAAAGGAATACATTCCGGTAATGAGTTAGTTCTAGTATAGCATGCACGGACAAACGCAAGCACTATGCGTTAGTGTTGCGTGTTCCACACTTCGCGTTCGCGGAGCACACACAACGTTTTTGGATTGGCGCATAGCGACGACACGCATGCGCAGAGTGGAGCACGGAACGCTAGCGCAAACGCACCGTGCTTTCATTTGGTTTTTTGTGCAATACTAAAACGCTGTCACGCTAAGAGACATAATTTGTTATTGTAAACTTCAGTATGTAATGTCACCGCTGCCAATGTTTATATAGACCTTCTGAGATGTCGCTCATAATGAGTCGGTATCGCCGACTCAATATGAGCGACTCAATATGCGTTCATGTAGGCTCTGTGCACAACTTATGTATTTTGCAAATGAATCCAATATAAAATGCGCTGAAACGCTTTGTCCGCCCTAAAAGACACCACTTCGTTTCGTCCTGTTTCCTTTTCTTACGAGCTTGCTATCATAACGGCGACTTGCGGTATCCACAACTGCGAACAGCCTCGTTGGCAACCATTATCACTTCTATTCTTGTCAGGAGGCCTTAAAGATAAGTTAAGATATGTAGCTCGAAACCACTCACATTTTCGACTCCAGGATTGCGATTGGTTCCAAGCAGTGTTTTCCTTACTGACAGTCGGTTGGTGAAGAGAAAGCAGAGGCAAGCTTTGTTCCACACTTTTTTGCATTCAAGGTGTTCTAACCACTTTTCACATCCACCAAGACAAGCCCCTCCGTCATAATACGTTCGTGTTCATGAAAATAGTTTTTTTCAGAGCGTCACTATAATTTAAACCGTTTCAACTGAATTCTGATTCAATATTGGGCAAATACATAGACATCACTACATCGAAGCTGATAGTTTCATCATTTACGGTATCGTTTCGTCACCGGCGCACCCCTCGACAACTGGTAGTCAAACGTGTTACACGACTGTTTGGTTACATTGTTTTGCGCAAAAAAGACGGACGCAAGAGAGAGAAACAAACACGAATGCAACTTACAACTGTATTGAGGAAACCTTTAGAAAACATACGGATACATCGTCAGCTTCAATGCGTCCACGCATGCGTCGTGTCACTATCACACGCTCGTCACAGAAACTTATCGAGGAAGCGTTTCTCAGCATTATACAAACTTATCGAGGTATCGCTCACACATAGGTCGCCTTTCTGTTTGATAAAGAAGGCTTCCAACAGCTCCCGTGCTTTTTGTCCCTTACTTCCGCCCAAAATTACAGTGTCAGAAAAACGTGGCTCACACTTACAGTTTCTGCAGTGTGCAGGCAAATATGCCCCGTCATTAGTATTTACATTTTGAGCATGCTACCTTAGGCGGTCGTTGGCACACCTTCCCGTTTGCCCCCCTATGTCTTCCCACATGTGAGCGGGATTTCTGGATGACCTCTGTTTTGCAGCCAAAAAACGGCCTCGCATGCTTTGGGCTGCATTTTCGCTTCTGTCTGCTTTCTCCAGTATTGCGGGGGCAGAGTTGGCCGAGTTTTGTTGGAGCTGTAAACACAATCGGCACTCCATGTCTATTCGCAACCTTCTTGAGGTTATGCAAGAGTTTGTGCATGTATGGTACCGCTTCAGGCCTCACATTGCTCAGTGTTGACTGCATCTTTTTTCCAGCAGTGTGTCCCTTCACTCTTTGTAGGATGGTTTCCGCCACACTCCTCAAGAACGAATCAGGGAAGCCCGCTGATAAGAGTCGAGCCAATTGGTTGCTAAAGCTTGCCTGTATCCTGTGAGCACACGATTTTCTGAGGGCGGACTCAAGGCAAAGCCTAGCAATTCCTCTTTTAACTACCTTTGAATGGGCTGAGTCATACGGCAGGAGTTCCTTTTGAGACCGCGGGGAATGCATCCAACAAACGTGTTCTTCCAAGTACAAAAGTTTCAAGTCTAAAAACTGAAGGCTGCCCTGTTGGGCAGCTCATGTGTAAAAGACAAGCCTTTGCCATGGCGCCTAAAAACCTGTAAAACCTCATTCACACCATCAGTGTACGTCAGAGAAGTCTGCTTTCTAAAAACAATTAAAAACTCATCCACGTATCTAAACACTCTGCAAACATTAAACTCATTAAGAGCCTGCTCAAGCGTCCGATCAATTGCTGCTAAAAAAATGTTGCATAGTATAGGGGCTACGCACGAACCAATGCATATGCCTTTCTTCTGTAAATAAAGTTGATTATCAAAGGAAATAAAAGTGCTGTTAAGGTACGCTTCTAGTAAGTTTAAAAAATCTTCAACTGAGACTCCTGCCGTGTTCTGGAAAGAAACAACTCCATTTACGTCAATACGTTCCCTTACTGCACTAAACAATTCACAGTGCGGGACTGAATAAAACAAAACTTCAATGTCAACTAAAAAGGCGTGCCCTATGCTCTGGTTATCCTGAAAGAAAACCTCATCTGATCTCTTTGTGAGGAAAGGGTCTGTAACCTGCAAGACATTTCAAATGTTTCAATAGAAACTGACTTGCAAGTAGCTGCCACGTGCCCTTTTCACTCACGATAGCCCGAAACGGCACACTCGGCTTATGTGCTTTTGCGGAAAAGAACACGCTTAACGCATCGATTTTTTACATTTCGACAGGTCCTTCGCTAACTTAATCAGATCTAAACTCTTACACGGATCAACAAACCTGCTCCTTCTTTTAGACGCGTTAGCATTAACCAGGAGCAAAGTCATTTTCTATTGCTCTTGCAGCTTTTTCGTTGAAAGTGGCTCTGGGCAAGGCTACGAACCCACCCTCCTTATCTGACTGTAAAAGACAGAGTTCGTGATCTTTGAAGTACGCTATCAGCCCCTTTAAAGAACTGCTACCGCCGCCACGCACCGTCCTTTGGGCACACTTCAAAAGGCAGTCCACACCTTCAAGCAGGCAACGTTCCTGGTCTTCTTTGTCTGCCTTGCTGGTCACTCTCCGATTCAGTGCCACAAGTTCATGTGCTGGAATACTCGGCTCAATCCTGTACTTGGGTTTCTTGCTGAATAAGGTGGTGATGTTCTCAGGAATAACCTCACCTATAACCATAAATCCACTCCCCCGTTCTTCTCTCTGTTTTTTGTCAGATGATCGAAGGGCTTGGCTGAGAGTGTACTTCCACCAGTATTCTGTCAACCGGGCTGAGGAGCCTTTTATCTGTTGCAACTTTCTTTCTGCGAGCCATAGGGGTCTTGTAAACAACACACCACGCGCAACCAGTCATTGAACATGCGAAATCGGCGCCATAATTCAGAACAAAGGATCTTACAGATTCGTTTTTGGTGTCCCCATGACGGGGGCCTCACATTGCCGCACAGAGCACCGACTTCTTGTGGTGTGACTCCTTTCCTGATGCAGAAGCCGATGAATCTTGCGCGACACGTTGCAGTGACGATGTGACAGATGAGCGTGTTGACATTGAGATGATCGGAAGAAACACAAAAAGAAGGGCCTACTGTAAAAAAAAAAATGTACTGTAAAATAGTTTGTTGTTGGGCGAGTTCGGGAACATTTAGATACATGGTTTTGCGCAATTGAAGTTGACGATATATCTGTACGTTATATCATTAAAGTTGACTATATATCTGTATGTTTTCTAAAGGTGTCCTCAATGCAGTTGTAAGTTGCGCTCGTGTTTGTTTCTCTCTCTTGTGTCCGTCTTTTTTGCGCAAAACCATGTATCCAAACGTTCACCAACTCGCCCAACAACAAAATATTTTACAGTGTTACGCGACCAGGGCCAGAAGATGAACATATGCGAAAATATTTACTAAAACCTACGACAATATATATCGTTTCGCACAAAGATATTTCAAAATATTATTTTTGAAAGAAACTTACGAGCTTAATATTTAATGTCGGATTTATGGGCATAAAAAATATATATTATACCCAAATTCTTAATTCGCTTTTTTTTTGCTTTTCACTACCGCAAGGTTTTTTTAAATTGACATTTAGAA